GGGGGTAGGGTTACGGTACCCCCGGGGACGACCCCGACCCCCGCCGGGTTGAGCACGTCTCCCAGGGCTAAGGATGAAGACAATTCCGCCGGCCTGGACGGCCTGGAGGTTGGTTCAGGTAAAAAGGCATCGGGAGCAACGTTTAGTGGTGGGCACGTAATAGTAGATCCATCCTTTGGTGTGTTCCGTCATGGGGGGAAAGGTCCCCCCTTCCCATGTGGGAACAAGGCTCCGTCCTCTCGAGTACGCTTCGATAAAAATGGTTTATTTTAGCAAAATTTGGCAAGAAAAATATGAGTACCCCCCCCACCCCCCCTTGCAGGGTCAAGTAGAAAACCCGTTAGATCGCGCTTGTTTTTTTTTTGTTTTGCAGAAGGAAACCACTTCTGGGGATAGTTACGTCCTTTCGTGTTAGAGTAGTACAGCAGGGGGTGGGTAGGGTGTGTGTTCCTTTAGGATTATGTGGTACGGTAGGCACACCAATACCACCAACACGACCGCTTGTTGTTTGGAAAGGCACAGCCCCCCCCCCCGTGCTGCCTTGCATGTATACGAGCAACAACGCACACACAAAACTTACATAGCAGCGTTTTTTTTTTATGCTGGACTCGGGCCCGGTTCAAGCTTTCAAAAATTCTTCTCCTCCGGAACTTTTCCTATTGTTCGGTTCCATATGCTTTGTTCTCTCCCCCCCCCCAAATGTTTGCCATCGGGGTTGGGTTTTCGTCGCTTGGCAACGACGTTGTAAATAAAAGCCGGCCCGCCCGGTGTTTGCCATCGGGGTTGGGTTTTCGTCGCTTGGCAGCGATGTTGTAAATAAAACAAGCTGATCACTTCGTGAGCTCGGCAACCAGGTTACCGCTTTTTTTTTTACCTCTGTTTTTTTTTTTTGGCCGGTAACCGTAATGGTGGTCGAGTTGATTATGTTGTGCGGGGTCGAGAACCCTCACTCCGCGCAAGGGGGGTGATCGCACCACGTTGTGTTAAAATGATCAAGCATCCTCGAGGCAGTCACACAGTGCTTATAACTGTCTCTGGAAGTGAAAGCACCAGCAAATAAATTAAGTCATACGCAGCTGTCATCCGTACGCAAGGAAGTAAGCACAAGATGCCGAACACCCTTAGCAGGATGCAGCTCACCCTTCATGCGACTTGCCGAATACCTCACGGTGCTTCGCGCTTGGTGACGTGAGCGCCTGGTCCGGTGAGAACCCGGCGCGCTCCGTCCCGGCTTTGTAGGGACGCGAGGTCAATGGTCTAACGACTACGGCATGCACGACTATGAGCACACACACACACACACACACACACACACGCCGCCGCTGCCGCCGCCGCCGCGCGAAAGCACGAGGCGCTGGTAGAACACCGGCAGACTGACCCGATGAACACTTTCGCGTGTGTTGTTGTTGGAGACTGTATTTCAGGGCGTGCATTGCTTAACTGCTGCTGCTGCTGCTGCTGCTGCTGTTGTTGGATACCCCACGGTTGTATGTTTTCCCATTCCGCGTTGCCCCCCCCCCCCCCCAGGAGCAAGAGGCAGGACCAGCACCAGCCGCTCGAGGCTACGCGGCCGGTCTTCCTCCGCTTCTCCTCCCGCCGCCGCCGCTTTCGTTGGGCGAGACTGTCAGCGGGGACGGGGACGATTCGAATGCATCCCCTCCCTCGGCTGGAGGCGGTGCCGGCAGCAGGGGCTCTCTGAGAAAAAGCCTCAAGTTTTTGCCCGATCTGCTGGGCGGGTTGTCCCCCCCGTCCCGGCTCAACCGCAG